AAATATTCACCTCTTTGAGATGCTGCATACATCCACTAATCTTGTGATGTCTTGATGATTTAGGTTCTGGCCAGTCTGCGATCAGTACGGAGCAACTTCACCATCCTTGCCAACGTCTCTACACCAACAGTCAAGTTAGTACCATCTGACTGTCCTTCGGCATCCCACTAACGCAGTAGTATTTTAGTAGCGCAGTACGTTGTCCTTTGTGTAATAAGGCAAAGAGGTAGTTAAGACTTAAAAAAAACACAACTAATAATCTAAAAACCAGGCGTGATGCTGCAGTAAAGCCTCTTTATATAACAATGCCTGTTAATATGCATAAACTACCGTCTCACTCCTGATATATTTTTGGATTGCAGTAACTCACTATGACGTCTCACTCTTGCACTTGTTCACCAAATCCTACTCACATGGCCCTGTAGCTGTGGACTGGTGGATGTTTAGCTGAAATGCCAGTTTTTATTTTCTTGTTTCTCTCATGTGAAACTGCATGAAGTAGAATCATGTAACTATTTTGATTTTACAAGAGAAAGATCCGTAGCTCTCTGTTGTCATTTACGTAGCTCATCAGACCCATATGCAGTTCGTTGCTGGTCTTAACAAACTATGTTCTCAGGAGGTCTCCTCTGGGGGGAGTGTGCATCAGTCCCAGGGCGACATTATCAGACCAGCAGTACCAGCAGCTCGCCCTGGACACACTGGAGGAACTGGACTGGTGCTTGGACCAGCTGGAGACCATTCAGACTCATCGCTCTGTCAGTGAAATGGCCTCCAACAAGGTAGGCATGCACCGACTGCACTAGTGTCCAACATGCGCATCAGCAGCTTTATCACAGATGTACTGTAACAGATTACAGTATATATACATGACCAGCCATAACATTATGACCACATGTCAAAATGTTTATTATGCATTGGTGTTAAAAACATAATGGCTGTACTTTGAAGTAGGAAATGTGGCAGACAGCACAATGGCCTTAATTAATTTACTGCAGTCTTAAACTTACTGACTTATTTAATACCCCGCTACTGTATATTACCCTCTGGGTTTTTCTTTGACCAAACCTGATGCGTTCAATGAGTTTTATTTTCACTGTGCCACAGTTCAAGAGGATGCTGAACAGAGAGCTGTCACACCTGTCAGAGATGAGTCGCTCTGGAAACCAGGTGTCCGAATACATCGCCAGCACCTTCCTGGGTGAGTGGGACCACAGTGTGGTTTCTACCCAAAGTGCAGTTATGAACTTTGAAAATGGAAACGATGAATCCTTCTTTGTGTGTTTGTGTTTGTTCATCAATCCGTAGACAAGCAGAACGAAGTAGAAATCCCATCTCCTACCCTCAAAGACAAATCTATGAGTCACATCAGCGGAGTGAGGAAACTGTCTCACAGCTCCAGCCTCTCCAGCGCTTCAATGCCTCGCTTTGGCGTCAACACAGACCACGAGGACGAGCTCGCCAAGGTCTTGTTGTCTTGTTTTGTCTGACTCGCATAAAATAAGTTGCCCGCATCGATCTCTGTTTGAACACTGAATGATTTGTTTCCTGATTTTATGACACTGCATCTGCTGGGCTTGTTGCATCAACACATTGTGCAGACATCACATACTCAGAAACATGCACATAAAATCTTATTTTATTCCCTGCTCTTCATTGTTTAATTCCATCCAGGCTGTTGCAACAAATGTTCAGAAAGCCTACAGTAGGATGGAGACTGTCTGCTTCTGTCTTCATGTACAGTAGCAGTAAATCAGATGAGACTATTAGAGATACTAATACAAATGTTATATGGTCTGTCATTACAAGAGGCTGCAGGGATTCCCAGTACGTCTCTGGACACCATGTTGCAAATACTGAATGAAGGTTATTCTTAGTGATGTGAAAGGGAGTCTGCTGTGTGATCGTTTAAAAAGCACCAGAAGCCTTGACCATGCACAACCAACAGGTGCACTGGGAGACTGTTAACAACAAACTGTCACATTTTATATTGACAGCAATTCAGGAATAGGAAGTAATTTAGGGTGGCGACTCGGTTATTTATATTATCAAATCTATTATTTTCTTAATTGTCAAAAACAAAAAAGTACTAACCATCTACTATAGTCCATCATATTCAAACTGATTGTATTGTCCTACAAACAGTCCAAAAGCCAAAGTCATTTCATTTGCTAACACAGAAGACTAGGGAATCCAGTTAATATTCATATATGAGAAGCTGGAACCAGGTTTTCTTTTTATTTTAATTCATTGCTGACAATCAAATAGTCAACTAAAAAATTACTGATTGGCTGGTTGAACTTATGTACGGGTGTCACTGGTTACTGTATGTTGCTATTCTCACTTTTATTATATTAGATTCAGACAGTTTTGTTTATATTTGATACAAGTAAATATGGTTTGATAAGTAAACGTGGTTTGCTGTCTAGCCCTGTGTTACGTTTTGTTGTACAGTTAAACCATGCGTTGACACCTTCTGAGCACGTGATGGAACCATCTCTGCTTGTGTATTTGCCCTCCGCTGTAGAGGACGTGTATAAGCTGTTGATGAAGCATTTAGCATGTCAGGCCTGACGTTTCTGACTCAGCTGTTGACATTATGTTTTCTGTGTCTGTACTGTTTCATCAGGAACTGGAGGATCTGGACAAGTGGAGCTTCAACATATTCAGAGTAGCAGAATTCTCCAACAACAGACCTCTCAGCTGCATTATGTACACCATTTTCCAGGTAAACAAAATGAGTGTGAACGTGTGGGAGTGTGCGTTTTCTGTGCCTGACGTGTTTGTGTGTGTGCTGACGTACACGATGTACTCCTGGTGGAGCTTGTGTGTGTAAAGTGTGCGCCTCCTGCTCCTCCTCAGGAGCGAGAGCTGTTGAAGACATTTCGCATCCCAGTCGACACCTTTGTCACTTATGTGATGACCCTGGAGGACCACTACCATGGAAACGTAGCGTACCACAACAGCCTCCATGCTGCAGATGTCACCCAGTCCACACATGTCCTGCTCTCCACACCTGCTCTTGATGTATGTTGACACACACACACACACACACACACACATATTAGTATGATACACATTTTAGGTTCTTAAACAGGTATTTCTGTTTTCATTTATCAGAGGTCAGGTAATTAATGACTGTTTTATATAAAACTTTCCATGACTGTATGTTATGTCCCTTTAGCTGCTGACGGGGAAAAATGTTTGACCGTTTACCTGCAGGTCTTAAAAAATCTTTAAAAGGCTTTGAATTTATTTCCCCTTTAAATTAAAAAGGGGGGTATTAAAAAGTAAAAACAAATGTTTGTCTGTTGCTGTCAGGAGACATTGGTGAGAGATGATGTACATAAATCTATACTACAAATGAGACTAAAAGACATAAATACATTTATGCTATGTTATCCACATGTTATATAACTGCAGGACCTATTGTCTCTAATGAGTTTCCATCATTCTTTGACAGCTATATCCGTGAAGCAGGCATTACATTATATTCTATATGGTATAAGAAAGGCTAAAATACTTTTAAGTTATTTTTGTAAACATTGCAAAATACTCGTTAAAAGCAATAACATTCACAAACGCTCCTAGTTCTTAAGTCCTATGTTTGAGTGATACGCTTTGCAGATTTTTAAAGGATAAGACCGGCCATTTTCTATATTAACAGTATTTTCAACAGTCCCCATAACAATTTGCTTATACTCATGATTGTCTGTCAGTCCTGGATCAGCTTATTTGTCTGTGCCGTGTGTCAACTAATGTTCAAAAACAATTAGGAAACACATTTAGTGTCATATTTCATCATTACGAAACACAAGACCCTGATAATTGCTAAGAAGATCCACAGATCTTGTGCATGGGCCCTTGACTCTTAGTTCAGATGTAAAAATGATGGCTGTTTGGATCCTTGGGGGCGTGCAGCAGTGTGTTTCACTGATGTTTTTGAACAATGGAGGTCTACAATACAGACAAATAAGCTAATCCAGTTCTGACAGATTGTCGTAACATTAATCATGAATAGAGGCATTTCATTGTTGTTTTAGTCTCTGCATGGAGACTTTAAAATACTCTGTATAGAAAATGACTGCCTTTGTCCTTTAAACTTGATATTCGCTTGGATTTTATGAATCTGTGGTTCTACAAGTTGTTTCATGACGAAAGGAGGAAAAAGTCCCAATTAGCTGGAAAAAAGTAATTGAACTACAACGTAACTGTTATTTTTAAAATTAAATTTTACCTCAATTTTAAAATTCTAAACAAACACATTCCCAGGATTGTTTTTGGTGGTGTTTTTATTTGATAGCTGTTTTCTTCTGTCCTGTTCCTTCCAGGCCGTCTTCACTGACCTGGAGATCCTCGCCGCTCTGTTTGCTGCAGCCATCCATGATGTAGACCACCCTGGAGTTTCCAACCAGTTCCTCATCAACACCAGTGAGTACAAACATGCACACAAAAACAGTCCGGTACGTCTAGAGGTTAGCACAAGCTGTGTTCACACCTCCTCCTCTGTCCCTCTTCACTGTGCTCAGACTCAGAACTGGCCCTCATGTATAATGATGAGTCAGTGTTAGAGAACCATCATCTCGCTGTGGGCTTCAAGCTTCTGCACCAGGAAAACTGTGACATTTTCCAGAACCTCACGAAGAGGCAGCGCCAGAGCCTGCGCAAGCTCATCATCGACATGGTCAGCACCTTGTCTAACACAGCTTACACTAAAACAAGTCAACTGACAACAAACAGACCAGTGTTAATGACCTTGGTTCTGTTTTTGGTTTGGTTCCTCTGTGGATGCCATTTTTATGGGAAATCTCATTAAGATTAGATCATTTTAGATTTAGTTACTGAGTTAAGACTTTACGCTACTTCATTTTGTTAAACTTGTGTATTCTGTTTGAAGCTGTATCCCATTGTTGCTCCCTATCGTGACCCAGACAGGCTGAAAGAGGTTTTCTAGGATACATTAAAATGAAACTGTGAAGAAACATTTAGCAGCTGTTTGATTATTACAGCCCTGCTTCTCCATGAATCTCTGCAAGAATAATGTGGGTTTCTTTAAGCTCAGTCAGTTTGACTGGATCTCATCCAACACTGTAATATGGAGGTACTTTAACCGTATCTCACAATCTGTTTTGTCCCTAATTTCAGTTTCTAATCTCTATTTACATTTTTAACAGTTAAGGACAGAGAGTCGTTTGTGACCTTTTTGCTTCTTTTGTCTCTGTTTCTTTGTGCAGGTGTTGGCTACAGACATGTCCAAACACATGACCCTGCTGGGTGATCTGAAGACGATGGTAGAGACCAAGAAGGTGACGAGTTCTGGTGTGTTGCTCCTGGATCACTATACAGAGCGAATACAGGTACTTTCTCATCTAAACATGAATTAATTTTGAAATCAAAGCCATGCAGATTTAATCTTATAAAGCAAGGATATTACAGGAAATCTTGATACATCAACAGCATTTAGTGTGTGCATTGTAGCCTTTGCTGTGAAACATTCTTGCACGTGTCTAGGTGCTGAGGAACATGGTGCACTGTGCAGACCTGAGCAACCCCACCAAACCACTGCCATTATACAGAGAGTGGACGGAGAGGATCATGGAGGAGTTCTTTCGACAGGGTGACAAAGAACGAGAGAGAGGGATGGAGATCAGTGCCATGTGTGACAAACACACTGCGTCTGTGGAAAAGAGTCAGGTAACACTCGATTTGGTCTCTCTTGCTACTGCATCTGTGTCCTTGTTTGTGTTTGCATATGCGGATCAGAACACTGAACAGATAATGGGTCATATTCAGACTAGTTCAGAAGCCTCTGTCAGGCAATATTACATATTATATACTTGACGTGCTCTGTCAGGAGGTGGACAGAATGACAAACACCTTGCAGTACAACACAACAGCCCTGAAATAAGAACCTGTTTACTAAAGCTAAAAACCTTCACTTTATGGTGAAGTTGTCAGAAGCGTGAGGACATTTTTAGCGTGTCACCCACAAACACTACAAAGTTTTGTAATGTGGCACTGTGGGGAAAAACGGCAAGTTAAATCAACACCGATGGCAGCCAAAAAGAAATAGTTCAAGGCACTGACTGCCTCATCAAAAGGTGTTTACCATGTGATTCTCTGTTCTCCAGGTTGGTTTCATTGACTACATCGTCCACCCGCTGTGGGAGACGTGGGCTGACCTGGTGCACCCGGATGCCCAGGAGCTTCTGGACACCCTGGAGGAGAACAGGGAGTGGTACCTGAACACCATGCCCCAGTCTCCCTCACCTCCCCCAGACAGACACCTCCAGCATGACCGCTTCCAGTTTGAGCTCACCCTGGAGGACCTGGAGCACAACAACCACAACCACATGCACTTGAGTAACAGCGGCGGAGGGAGGAGAGGCAGGAAAGCATTCTGTGACAACAGCAGCACAGACAGAGAACAGGATGGTGAGGTTGAGCTGAACAGCGAGGAGCAAAACCACATCGAAAGTGAGAAAGAAGATGACAAGGAGAACCACAACAGCGAACAGAATGGAGTCCAAGATGAAGATGAAGAGCAGGAGGAAGTTAGAGAAAGAGGGGGAGAAGAAGAGGAAGTGAAGGAGAATGCAGATGAAGAGGAAGAACATGGAGAGGACCAAGAAGGAGAACAGACAGATGAAACGGAACAAGAGGAGGAAGTGAACAATGCAGCAGAGGATGAGGAGACAAAGGGGGAGAAAGAAGATGTAGAACGGGAAATGGATGGAGAAAAAGTAGTTACGGGGGAAGAAGAAACTGAACATGAGGCAGAAGTGGAGGAAGAGGGAGAGCTGGAGGAGGCAGAACAAATTCTAGAACGAGAGGAGGGAGAGATGGAAAAGGTAGAGGAGGAGACAGAGGATAATCTAGAGGAGGAGGGCGAGACAGAAGAGCAAGTTGAAGAAGAGGAGGCAGAAATGGGGGATGAAGTTGACGAAGAAACAGAAGAGAAAGGAGAACTGGAAAAAGCAGAAGAGGAGGAGGCACCAGGAGAGGAAGAAGAAGAAGAAGAAAGTTAGTTGGGTGTAAAATCACAAATTAACAGTCAGTGAGGAAAGGCTAAAGACAGATAAACTACAGAGCCTGAAAGGCAGCAGGGTGTCTGTCGATGAGGATGATAAAGCGCTGAAGACTCCCTTCTTCCCAGATAATGTGCTCAGCCCACTTTATCACATGACCCTCTCAGCTGTAGGCTGACATACACTCAGATGTCAGACCTCTTAAACTTCACAGCTCAGAGAAACTAGACAGGACAACTCTGGACATGACAACAAAGCCTCTCCGGGGCAGCCAGGTTGTTGCTTGACCAACTGGTAGTGACAGAAAGACTCAACTCTTCATCCATCACTGCCATACGGGAAAACGGGGGATGATAAAAGGTGGGGAACCTGTTTTATCAACCTTTTGTAGCTACTGATAATCTTAAAAAGAAAAAAAAAACTGAATACATGCAAATAAGTGCGTGCCTGTTCTCCCGATCTCATGGAGTACTACCCATCGTCTCTCAGTCAGCGTCTCTAACACCTCAGCGACCATTTACTCAAGCAACACTGTTTAAAGAATGTCAACTCCTCTGTTTGTCAGAAAAGAGATAAAAAAAAATGCAAACGTGTCTGGAAAGTGTAGTCCGTCGTCTTGTATTTACTACAGAAACGTCCCACTTGTGAGCAGGGCACCAAGTGCACCCTTGGGCTCTGGTAACAGTTCCACCTCGTCACATACTAACCTTAGAGCACCAATTCGGGGTTTCTGAGATCATTTGAATGATCCCTGGACTGTGTTGTCAAAGTGGAAACATATGCAGTTCAGCTCAGAAGGCTGACTTATTGTACATGTCGATGTCAGTTCGTGTAAAAAACAAAAACATATTTGTCTGATCACGACTCCCAGACTGTGACTTTAATTCCCAGGTGAATCGTGCCAAACTGTCCCACGACCAGCACTGAGCAGTTCAGCCATCCTCTAAACAAGGTGGCGACTCGTCCATGAAGCAATGAACTGTGGGACCAGGCTAACGGGTGTGATGGTCTTCCACAAATCCCTTTTTGTTTTGTTTTTAAAAAAAATGCTATTTGGCACTTTAACTTCCTGTTACATATATGTACATAAACATATTTTAATCAGCTGATGTCATATAATAAATATGATCAATGAAGTTAACGGATCGCTGTTTGATTGTTTACACTCACCTGCCGGTTTATTAGGTACCTCAATCTAAAATAGTCTAATACAACAGCCTTGCAATAAATCCTCCTCCATGAAGGTGACAGTCTTTTGTTTTTGTGGGGTTTGATTCAGCTGTAAGATTATGTTGGAGGCTCTGTTTCTTACACACAGAGGCCTTTCTGTTATTTAGTCAGAGGTTTTATTGCAGGACTGTTGTACTGGACTGACAGTTTAGCTCAGTGTACCTAATTAGTTTCATGGCGTCATTTTTAATGCAACCACTATTACCGCCTTGCATTTCTATGCCTCCGCCAACCAGCCAAAGGCACGGAGATGGGACAGACGTGAGTATACAGTGACGCTGAACTCTGAAATCTAATCAGTTCTTCCTTGAACCCAAGTGGAAGTTAAAGAAATTCCCTCAAGGCGCTACTGAGATATCGCGTTAAGAATGGGACGGACGTAGAGACAGACAACAACATGCCTCCACCCATGGCTATCGCCAGCATGGAGGTGTGAAAATGTGTCTGGCTATGGGTACGCAGCATCAAGTCCAAATGTATAAGAAAACGAATTTGGAAAAATTTAACACAATCTGTAAAATCTGCTGGACAAGGCGAAATACTTCAAACAGCCTGATGTTTGTAGACTAAATTTACTATTCAAATGGGTTATTATTATTTAAACGTGTGTGTGTGTGTATGTATATATTAATTTAATCAAATTTTAAAATAGTCTTTTTAAGCCAAGATTCAAATTTGAATATTTGCCTCTTTTCTTACTTTTCTCTGACGGTAGCTCGAATTGTGGAGTGTTGGTCGGACAATAAAAGCAACGTGTCAGCTTGGGCTTCAGAAAATCCTGATGACTAGTGGTGGGCGATACTGCAAGCTTTGGTGTCGATCCGATACCAAGTAAATACTGGACCAGTATCATCGATATCGATATCAATACCGGTACTTTTTGACAATTAATGCATTACCAAATATAAATACATTTTCATGACTTTCAGGTGTTTTGTGTTTTGTTTTAAATTGTATTATTAATTTAATAAAACCCAGACAAAGTTCAACAGTAAATAGAAAGAACTTTATTAACATAAAACAAGTTTTTGTTCAATATCAAAAGTACAGACTTTTTGTCTTCCACAAACTGCACAAAATTCTTTCGAAAATATTAAAACTTCTTTCGTAGAATACTCCTAAATAAACAAAGTCGACAAAACAATCACTCCAAAACAAATCTTATAAAACAAAGAACAAATTCTCTTTTTTCAAGTATAATACAAAAATAAAATAAAACAAAATGTCTTCCCTACATTGCACATATTTTCTGGCTTTGAAAAGGTAATTTAAACAAACAGTTGGTAAAAAATAAACAATAAATAATAATACTACAATAAATTAAGTATAAAAATACACAACTCCTAAAGCCTTTAGCCTAAAGAAATAGTCTAAGAAGAAAGAAACAGTATCATATTCACATTTTTTGTAACCACACTCAGGTGTTTTTTGGCAAGTCTGCTGAGAGAGGAGAATGTAGGTGCATTGTTTTCCACCAAAGTAGTGGATCCTGGTCCCGAGGAATTAGCTTCTCTTCTGTGTATCTGCGCATTTCAATTAGTACATCAGT